GGATGAACAAGTGGAAGTAATGAGGAAGTTACATTTCAAGGGTCTGGCATCGGACCCCTGCGTCTTTCGGAACAAGAACGTTTGGGTGCTCATATACGTCGACGATGTTATCGTCATTGGCGCACGATGGGAAGACGTACTGGAAGCACAGAGCCATATATCTGGCCATTTAGAAATGAAAGATATGGGAGAGCTCACAGACTTTCTTGGCGTACGATTCACACGGGCAAGGGAAGGGGCTTGGTTGTCTCAGAATTATTACGTCAGCTCTATACTGAAAAGATTCGGAATGGAGTTTTGTAACGAAGTATCTACACCGGCCTGTGTCGATGGACGGGGAAACGAAGAAACTGATGAAGCTGTTGACCAGCGGTACTATCAAGAAATCGTGGGCTCTCTGTTGTTTCTGTCCATGAGGACCCGTCCAGACATAGCAGCTGCAGTAAACCTGCTCACACGTCACTGCAGCCACCCCAGAAAGTCTCACATGATGTCTGCGAAACGTGTACTACGGTACTTGAAAGGGACACGGACTTACGCAATCAGAATATGCAAGGACGAGGGCGGCATGAAAGGGTACTCCGATTCAGATTGGGCGGGCGACACGTCTGATCGCAGGTCCACTTCGGGGATGCTTATGAAGATCGGGCACACTTCTGTGTTTTGGAAATGTCAGAAGCAAAATTGCGTAACTCTCTCCACTACAGAAGCAGAGTATGTGGCATTGACGGAGGCATGCAAAAACATCATTTGGCTCCGCAAGCTTCTGTCTGAATTCAATGTCGACATTGCTGGTCCCACAATCATTTATGAAGATAATCAAGGATCTATTGTTTGGGCAAGTGAAGGCGTTCGGCATGCCAAACATGTGGCAGTAAGAGTTAACTACGTCAAAGAAAATGTTGAAAACGGAACTGTCAGAATTGTGCACTGCCCCACAGACAAAATGATAGCGGATGTCATGACCAAGCCATTGAGACGGATCAAGTTCGACTACATGCGTGATCAGCTTGGCGTGATGTTGTTGATCGAGCATGAGGGCAAGAGGGAGAGTTGAGATGTGCCCAGCATGCTTAGGATTACGCAGGTGAAATGAACTAGGACTCTGGATGGAGCAAGAGAATGCTTCAGGACAGAACACTTGAATCACGGATAGTTTCGCACAGTAGAAAATCGTCCGATTGGGTAACAATATGTCTAGCGACCATTGTGAAGTATCCAGGCCAGTTCCTGCCATTGCAACTGACCTGGACGTACTGTGTCGTCAGTTCGCAGGTTTATGACGACGGGATCAGTAGGATAGTATATATGTACTTCTATGCCCTACTCAAAGTAAAGGAGTCACCACACTACCTGAAGGTCCAACACCTCTGTTTCTCATAAGGCCGTTGTTCCCCGTCCTAACAAGTCGTGCTGCGCCAAGTCAAAAGAACTCCATTGCATAATGACAGATGCAAACCTAGTTCAACCAGGGCTGCCGTCGAGCCTCTAATCGCTCCTGTTTGAAGAACAAAACCGCGTGCGGAGACTGCAACGTATGAACCTGAAGCAAAGACGTATTGATAGCTTCTGTAGTCGTTGGTGGTTAGTTTCTAGTGTGCATTTAGGCCCCGGCAAAGTGAACTCTTGGTTTGTTCATGCTTGTTATGTTCATTATATCGCGTAATTCATTCTAACGAGTCTGGTTCACCTTAGAAATACGAAACCGTCGTTTCTGAGCCAAAAAGCGGGGTGGCGCCTCCCTCACAACCTTTCAGTTCACTACACCGGGACAGTTCATCCTATCATGTACACAGCTTATCGAGACTTTACTCTGTACTGCATTCCAAAGTATGTGTTGTTCATTTCTTGAGTCGCCACAACTGATCCAGGAAAGTGGCAACAATAGAAGTTTAAACCTACCCCCTCATGCGCATCCATCCCCACACATGTGCTGCATATTGGACCAACACGCAGATGCTTCCCAGGCTCTCACGTGTCTTCTCCATTCTTTTGCGACAACGAAGTACTGTAGAGCTCTTTCAAAGAGCTTCATGCAGGTCTTTTCCTGGCTCCATCAAAAAGTACTCAACGCTACGAGGCACTGGTTCGTCTACAGTATGACACGGAACTACACACCACTTGATCAAAACGATCATGAGTAATAATCTTTCCTTGTGATAAACACTAAGCAAAAGGGGAGGTGCCGTTGGCCAACGACATGAGAGAGGAATGACTGGGAGTCATATGAAGGAATCACCACATTCCTCACTGCCTTGCATCGTTTCCTGTCCATTGCGCCTCATTATTATTACTGTACAATGCTGCAAGCTCACCGCTCTTTCAGCCAACACCACTCTTCCCGTTGTCCGACCATCCAATCTCCGCCTGGCGCCTTCCATAACGCGAGAACACACGCCGTGCAACAATGCTCTCCGGCACTCATCAGCTCCTCTTCCGCTTGCCATGAATAGCGACCAATCCACGACAGAGGCGCCGCACCTCGTGATCATGAAAGGACCTCATTTAGAAGACCTCGGAGTGGTCAGCCACGTATTGGCTTTCCGCTTCGTTTCCTAAACGACGCGAAGACAGTGTTTGGAGCTCGTGTAGTCACGATTCCTTTTTTTCTTCTGGCTCCACGGCCCACTCCGCACCGCGTGAGCGGTATCTGTCCTATTGCCGTGTACAAAACTTCGACAGTCTACAACCTGGTAGTACTGAGTGTTCGTGCCGAAAAGCATGAACATTTCTGTTTGGCGGTCTTCTCGTCCATGTGTGAGACCGCTCATCCTGCACCTTCTTCCAGAGAGTGAACAAATCGTCAACCGCACCGTTGCCCTTCAATGTCTGATCCGACTTCGAATGTTTGGCGCATTAACATCGATTCCAACTGGGCTTCCGGCATCGCTGCCTTAGTCTTCGACATCCTCTTACTTGGTATCATCAAGTGGCAATGTCAAACACTCTGCAAGTATGCAAATCTCTTTATTTTGTACGATAGACGTCAGCCCATTCTTCCGGGAGCCTCCAAGATCGGAGCACTCACCGGCGGACCCACCGGTCCTATCAATCTCGCTCGCTTGTTTTCCATCCTAATCATGGTCTCCACTGCCTCTGTCGTCGTCATTGGCTTTTGCATCAACGGAAGAACCGTCACTGCTTTCAAGCCCCAGAAATATGCGGCTGTCGTCACTTTCACCAACACGCCCTTAGAGATCGACTTTTCAAACGATTTTAAGCTAAAGTGCAGCGGGGCTACCTGTGAACGAATGATCAGTAAGCGCTTGTATGCCATGGCAGTTTCGTCTAGATGCATGGAGAGCAACTACACTCACGCGAAAATATACTCACATGTGTACAAGGAATTGGCCTTGGACGCAGAAAAACAAAAACTTGGCTCAGCCTTGCCGGACGGTATATGCGTCAATGAAGAAAACTTTCGGGACCCAATGATATATCGAGAATACGAGATGGCTGTTCTCTCTTCTCCTGTCCTTTGCCGATCTATTGATATCAAAAATCCTTTTAAGGAGAATGGCGGCATGGATGACGTCCGCGAAGCGAACTTCGTCGCAGACGAATGCGAACCAGAGGTGAAACATCTCTATTGCTTTCACACGGATGTCACGGCATGCGCGGGGTGGGGTCAGGTCGAAAAGAACGGAACGATTAAGGATTACATCGTACTCGTACGAGACATTAGCAAGGGTGAAAGCGCGGGCGAGGTTGTACGTGTTGCTTCTTTGGACAACGAGGAGCAACAGAAGAAAGCTGTTTCGAATGTGGCATTTCTCAGTACAGTAGGATTCCAAAGTGCCGTGTCGAAGCTGGCAGACATGGCCATGAGTGATATATTGGAAAATGAGACGCTCTACTTTCGAGAGGAAGGAGGGCAAAATATTAGCGAAGTGGATCTTAACTTAGCAACACCGGCACTCGCTGTTCTTGCATCAATTACATTGCTTCTGGCTGTCCTCGTCGTTGTGTCATGGATATGGGTGGTGGTTTTGAAAGGACGGAGGGGATACAAAACGTTTTGTTCCGTACCACAAATTCTTCAGCTTGTATGTACGGAAAAGGCGTCCAAGATGAAATCTAGTGATGCAGCAAGGAGAGTGATTGGAATATCTCGAAGAGGGCCACACCTGTCGGTGTACAAAGAGGGAAATAAACAGGAGTGCTCGAATTGGTCATGGGAGGAGCCAGATGTGTACTGAGGGCAAGCCAGTAACGTCGGAAGCTTCCTGAAACTCTTTTTGCGCAGTACACATTTTTATGACATCACAGACTTAACATATCCAGTCCAAGCGTAACACTTATCCCTAGATACCTGTCGGTATGAGATAGCATTCGCAACAATAGTCAAGGGTCAGTTCAGCGTCACGATCTGACATATTTGCAAGCTGTATGCCACGGTTTACAGTGAAAGTGACAAGGTCGGAGGGTTCATTTTCGAAGATAACCCACCATTAACGTTGTCCGTAATGAGAACTATTCAATCCTTGTGGCGAGCTACACTATTCGCTTCAGCGAGTATTCGCCCAGTTGCACTTGATCCGTCGGACCGCACAACGATGTACCAGACTTGCGTTTGTTGCGGGCAGGTACCTTGCTGGAGGTCAGTCCGCAAAACTCGTGGTGGGATTTTTCAAACTCGGGTTTACGTCCAGCGAGTTTGTGGGCAAATGGAAAAAACAACGCGTTATTTTACGGACAACGTTATTGAATAAAGCATTTACATAATTTTTATGACACATTTCTCAAAATCTAGAAATGTGCCCCCGTTTCGCTCCTGAAACGTGTGTGTACAAATTTGCTCCCCTGGCTGACGAGCACTAGTTTTGCTCCTACTCAATGACAACGAAGGGCACTCCAGACGAAACGCAAAGCCGGCCGGGACATGTCTGAGCAGGCATGCCGCCCTTATCTGCGCTGCTGCTGTTTCTTCTCCGCCAAGAAAGTAATCGCAGGCGCGGCCTCACCTTCCGCGTGATGTCCACCTTCACATTCTCGACCGCATGACCCCCGCCCAAAACCACCCCCTTCTCCCAGCTGTGCACCACCACCGCAGCAGCCGCCGCGGACCCGTCCATCTGCGCCTCGCTCGCGTGCCGTCATCTCGGCATCGCCCCAGCCCAGCACGCGCTTTCCGCCGCCACCCTCTCTTCGCTCGCCGCCTCCCTCGTGTCCCGCTGGTGGTTCGCCACCGGCGCCTTCGTCCCGGGCGTCCCTGTGCACTTCCGCAAGGGCTTCACCAAGGTCCACGCCCACGGCGGCGTCGAGCGCGACGTTGCAGAGGACTCCGTCGCCGCCTACGTCTTCGGCCGCCACAAGGACGTCGCCGTCTCCGTCACCGTCCCCGTCGTCACCATGCACTTCTTCCTCGAGGCCGCGAGTCCATTCCCCATGGAGCGCATGCCTCTGCGCCTCGTCCACGTCTCCAAGACCGCGCCGCGCGATCGCCGCGCGATCCGCCCGCCTTCCCGCCGTCGGCCCCCACCCCTGCTCGACGCGCCCGACACACACACGCGCGCGTCGTCGTCAATGGCTCGACACTGCTCGCGTGTGCCGTGCCCAGCGGCGACCGTGTGCGCGTGCTGGACGTGCACGTGCCGCCGGAGCTGCTGCTGGCCAAACCGCCGCTGAACACGATGGCCGTGGAGTACGACCCCGCGTCGCGCGCGGCGTACTGGCTCAAGTCTGTCGACGTCGTGCTGTGCATCCTGCCGCTGCCGCCAATCGCCGATGACGCGTGGCGCTTCACGCCGCACGTGCCGGACATGACGCCCCCGCGGCTGTGGGCATGCTGGCAGGAGCTGGGGAATGAGAGCTGGAGAATGGGAGCTGGAGAATGGGAGCTGGAGGATGGGAGCTGGAGGATGGGAGCTGGAGGATAGAGGATGTTGGAGGCGGGAACGCGGAAGACAGAGTTGCGCTTGTTGGCGGAGGATGCTACACCGCTTTGTCGCTCTCACTCCCGCCAAAAATGCGATTGTGTATGTTGCACATTTGCCTCGTCCGTGGTCGAGCCTATACTGTACAGTGGACCCTACGCATTAGTGCCGCTCCGTGTAAGGACTAATAATACGGCACTAATTCGGAGCGGCACAATTAGATGGCAGAACCACTACCCGGCCAGAACTCTGTTATTAGAGTCTGCTGTTGTTGCCTTTGACCCTGTCTCTCATGCCTACCCTTGGTAGCTACTGTAGCTTCTAGAAAAGCTCGTTTTGCGGACCTCAAGTGCGATAAGGCATTGCTCACATCACACTCCACACCCAGACTCTCCGAAGACCCAAACAGCCTTGCTAGCACTACAGCACTCGGTACGGCGGCTGTACTACGGCCCGCCTCTCCGTAATTTCACACTCGCCTTCTGCCACACAATCATCCATCATAGCATCACTGGCAGACTGATTCTGTAGCTCTCCACCATAATGTATTGAATCGCAAGCATCACTAATAGAAGCTTCTGCTACAACCTCATTAGTCTCGTTCTCAATCCATTCCTCCAAACTTTTTGTGCCGAGCGTTGTGGCGGTGTTGGTCACAATTTGTTGGAGTGAAGGAAGAGAGCGTTTGATGTTTCGGATGGTTCGTTCTGAAATTTTGAACTGACGGATAACTATGGTACTCGCATTCTCGATCTGCAGCAGATGCCCAACCTCGATTTCTGCGCAATCGTCAGGCGCGTACGCTTCGCTTTGGAGATCTTTTCAGGAATCATGTTAGGGACTTTGAGTGAGGTGCCATCACCAATTGAGCTGAGGGCCAGTCCTAACAGGCGCTTTTCTTTTGAGAAGAAGGATCCGGGAAGACGCCAATCAACTTTGTGCATTGCAATATGATCTCAACTCTGCCGGATGGTATCTTTGAAACAACAACTTTTGCAAAACAAAGCAAACTCCTCTGTCAATAATGGGCGACTCCTGAAATTCTAAAATCGCAAATTGTGTTGACCAAATCGGGATTTTGTGACACACAAACGGCGCGTTGTGCACACACAACGCGCCGTTTTCTCGGACGGGCGACCCCATGCTACGTTAAATGTGTATCGCACAAATGTCAAAATGTGCGCGCGTACAATCCAAATTTACTGTACACAGAGAAAGCGTCGGCCGCCGCCCGACCGACGAGACTCGACATCTACATCCTACCGAGCATGGCTCTGAATGAGAAGTAGCAATAGAATAGCCATTTGGTCATTCATGGTTCTGACGGTGGCTGCTCGGTGAAAACACCATCATGATTGAGCTTAGCTCACAGCACACACTGTAGATAGAGCTCCGACGGCGTCATCGCCGGCGTCCGGTGCCGTGCTCGTCGTTAGGAACGAGTTCAAAGCATGCGTACAGTAGGGGGACGCACATTATGTGCGCAAGCATTTCCGTGGTAAAACTCATTTTTTGTTCACAAAAAGAAAAATATGACTCTGACACAAAAAATAATTTCCGGAGGCGCCCAATCAGCAATGCTACTATGATACAGTGGATCCTCGCTAACTGCATGCTCGGTTTCTGCATATTCTCGATTACTGCATGCGTTCGTCAGCCACCGGCTGCGGTGCAGCGATTCCAGCCTGTATATAAATTGTGATGTGTTCAGGAAGGTGCGTTACGTTTTGACGCGCAAAATCCGCATCTGTTGTCAAGAGGGTTACGAATACTGTGCCTTCGAGTGTCGCCTGCTGCGAGGGGCAACCATGAAGCCCTAGGACGGCGGTTTACCTGTGCAGCGAGTCCTGTGTATTTCCGTAAAGTAATTGAGAGGCGGCAACAAACGCGATCGATCGTAGGACCTGCGACTTCTGTTTATGACATTGTACGCGTCTCTGTACACGCTAGCGTGTACCACTGAAGGGTACAGCGTCGCCGTCGAGCATGCAATGGCCGTTGTAAACAGAGCACCGCCGCCGGGTTGCTATCTCGCATCCTATGCTGCCCGCCACTGTGGATTCAATGAGCAGCTGCCACTACGGTTTAGTCGGGATCGGATCATGACACGCTTGGATTGGGCATCGCAGAACCAGTTCTTTGTTTTCTTCGATGCCGATATCATTGTCACTGCTGCTTCGGAGTGGGTTTTTTGCACACATGCGTCCGCATTTCTAGCGCTTGCCGTGCATCCCTTTTCGCTTTCTATTTCTCCCTTCTCATCTCTGGACACGCTAGCGCGTATAAGGGTGAAACTCCCCCGAGAATAGGTTATAATTCGCGTCGGCCAACCAGCGTACCTTACCGTCCAGCCTGCCTGCTCCACGTTACTTATGGCTACCTCGTGGGCTTCCCGCTATCCGTCTCCCCCCGTCATGTCTTTTTCTCTTGCCGGCCCAGCCCCGGCTGCGCCGCCCTTTTGGTCATTTCCCCTTCTCATCATGTCTTTTGTTTGTCCTATGTTTTTTGTTCTATGATTTTTCTTCTAATTCAGTATATTATTATTATTATGTTTTGCGCAGCCTTTAACTGTTTGTCTCACCTGGCTGATGTCCTGTGACCAAAATCACAACCAATAAACTACGTAAATACCTTCAGCTGTATACCTTCGGTACGAGAAGTGCGCTCCTCAGACTATTCAGTAGATGCTTACAGCCAGCAAAGAGTTCAGTACATCATACGCATTATACGTACAGTACCCTTCTCACAGGCTCAATGTGGGACGCATAAGAAGTTATGATAAATATGCGAATGCAGTGCGTATTCGAAGAAAATGGCCTTTATTTGGACGGGAGAATTGGTCTCCAAAGTGTGCCGGGGTCAAAGTGGGACGACGAGAAATTTCATGTCTTGCACGCTTTATCTGTAATGGGAGAGACTCAACAAAGCCGACGCTGCCGTGTGCTTGCGGGTCCTCAAAACTGACCGTTTCTAAGAGCATGTGAATATGTTTCATCAAGCGAATATATTTAATTCGTTGCGAAATAGTTTAGCAAAATCATATGCGCGAAACTATGCGGCGCGGCATTATAATTTTGGTGTCACAATTTGAGCCTTGTCACAGATTGAGCCTGTGAGAAGGGTATCGTGGTCCCCACGGAGTTGATTGCTTGGTTGCTCATTATTTCTGCTACATCACACAAGGGCTCATGCAAGGCCACTGTTCATGAGCGTTGTTATGAACAGTGGCCTTGTACTGTATGAGGCCTTGTGTAGTGTAGCATGTGATCAACCAGGCAATTAACTCCGTGGGAACCACAATACTTATACAGTAGTTCCTCGGTATAAGAATATGTCCGGTGGACGGGTTTTCCATTCTTATATAGAGGATATTCTTCAATGAGGATTTGGTCCTACCAACACAGGAGAGTTAAGCTATTACTGTAACTTAAAAAAGTCGTCTATCCTACTTTGGCGACCGGCCGCGGCCTCCTCAGCCTGCAAATCGCGCCTCAGGCGACGTAAGTACCCGTTTCCTTTGGGGATTCGGCCATCCCCAAAGGAAACGGGTGGATTTCCTGCCGTTACTGGTTTATTTTGCACTGGCCCTTATTTTTGTTGTAAAGGTAGCTGGTTCTGCACCAGATTTTTGAAAAATCTTTCTCGTTGTATTCTTGTATAGAGTATGAATAAATGTTCGAAATTGGGGTCAATTTTGCAGGAACGAAAACAGTGGATGCGTTTTGCATTCTTATACTGTTGTAGCATCAATATTGGGAGAAGAGAATGATCTCTTCAGTGTGTGTAACAATGAATCGTTCAGATTCTTCAAAGGGTTAGTGCGCGTACGGGCGGTTTTGAGGGCGTTACGACGCCGGGGGTTGAGGGCAGGCTCCTGCCGGGCGAGGGTCTTCTCGCGTAAGTTGGTTGAGTTTATTCTGTGAGTTGTTCGTCTGTGTGTTCTCTCCTCTTCGGTCCTGGAGGAGGTTGTGATACTAAAAAGCTGAAGCGAAAGGCAGAGACAGTTTCTCTGTTCGGGATCTGGCGGAGGCACTGTACTGTTGATCGGGATCCTGGGAGAAGCGATCAGGATCAGGCTGGCTCTCCGAGGGGTGTTACTGTCTTCTTGTCGCCGACTGAGGGCCGTTCCTAACGACGAGCACGGTGTGCTAGCACTCAAGCGCCCTGAAACTTGGCATGAATGTATTGGTTGAAAAAATTATTGGAAATGCTTTTACTCCCGTTCAACCAATCCATTCATGCCAAATGTCAGGGTGCTTGCGTGCTAGCACACCGTGCTCGTCGTTAGGAACGGCCCTGACATGATCGGCGGCGTCGGAGATCCCTGTTTCATCATATACCGAGGATATCCATATATGAGGCATTCTTTGTAGGAGAGACTCTAGACCTTGGGTCGTCTTTACTGGGGACATGAGCGACGACGGTGTTAAGTACTGTGGGAGTGATATGTACACGTGTAAGATACGACAAGGAGTGGAGGATGATCGGTGGCGGCATCAAGCGGAGAAAATTAAGATACGACAGTCGCCGCGCTTGATGGTGGCGTTGCGGAGTTCACTTCCCCTACTGGAGATATGTGCACTTTATCGGTTGTGGTTTTGGCCACATGACATCGGCTACGTGAGACAATGAAAGGCTGCGCAAAACATAATAATAATATACCGAACTTGAACAAAAAACATAGAACAAAAAGAAAAAGACATGATGAGAAGGGGAAATGACCAAAAGGGCGGCGCAGCCGGGGCTGGGCCGGCAAGAGAAAAAGACATGACGGGGGGAGACGGATAGCGGGAAGCCCACGAGGTAGCCATAAGTAACGTGGAGCAGGCAGGCTGGACGGTAAGGTACGCTGGTTGGCCGACGCGAATTATAACCTATTCTCGGGGGAGTTTCACCCTTATACGCGCTAGCGTGTCCAGAGATGAGAAGGGAGAAATAGAAAGCGAAAAGGGATGCACGGCAAGCGCTAGAAATGCGGACGCATGTGTGCAAAAAACCCACTCCGGAGCAGCAGTGACAATGATATCGGCATCGAAGAAAACAAAGAACTGGTTCTGCGATGCCCAATCCAAGCGTGTCATGATCCGATCCCGACTAAACCGTAGTGGCAGCTGCTCATTGAATCCACAGTGGCGGGCAGCATAGGATGCGAGATAGCAACCCGGCGGCGGTGCTCTGTTTACAACGGCCATTGCATGCTCGACGGCGACGCTGTACCCTTCAGTGGTACACGCTAGCGTGTACAGAGACGCGTACAATGTCATAAACAGAAGTCGCAGGTCCTACGATCGATCGCGTTTGTTGCCGCC